CGGATTAAGAATGGGTGAGTTAACCGTCAAATGCATTTTGTACGCCGATGATAAAGTCATTCTTGCGTCGTCGGCGGCCGAGTTGCAAATGATGGTTACATTAATGAACGGATCATTAAAATAAAGGGGTATGAAAGTGAACGCAAGTAAGACGAAGGTTATGGTTTTTGAAAGAGAAGAAAGTAAAACGATTTGTGAAATAAGAATAGAAGGGGAGTTGATCGAGCAAGTAGATGAGTTTGTATATTTGGGCTGCGTATTTAACAGGGATGGGAGATATGATAAGGATATAGAACGACGAGTGAATGCGGGAAATAGAGTAAATGGGGCCTTGCACTCTATTGTGAAGAGTCAAAATGTGTCGAAAAAGGAACGTATGGCAATTCACAATGCTGTGTTGGTCCCTACTTTAACGTATGGTAGTGAAAGTTGGGTGTGGCAGAAGAAACACGAGAGTAGAATAAACGCTGTAGAAATGCGGTCGTTAAGGAGTATGTTAGGGCTGAATCTGAATGACAGGGTAAGAAATTGTGTAATAAGAGAAGAGTGTGCACACTTTTACAATATTAATCAGCAATTAATGATTTAAGGTAATATCTAATTCCTAGCACAACCACTCTCTCCGACCGTTCGAGCCAAAGTGACCCTGCCACCTGCTACGGCGACCGGCTTTCTGGGCTCAAAACCCCACCACCGCGGTGACGCAATCATTAGCCACACCCCCTGTCAGTCATCATCGCGTAACAATATATATATATATATATATATATATATATATATATATATATATATATGTATATATATAGTATTCATATATATATGTTATATATATATATATATATATATATATATATATATATATATATATATTTAGTAGTAGTCTTAGTAATTGAACGGATGGATATATTGCTATTTTTGAACAAAATCTGAATTCTGTCTGGTAAATGATCTCCGGACTCCCGACAAAAACTCAAAATCTCCAGACAAACAGCTTCTCTTCATATCACAGCTGCTTTTAATAAAAGTTGGATAAGTAATTAAACTGAATTTTGAAGTAAATTGTTTGAATTTTTAATCTGCTGAATACTAATAAAGTATCCAAATTGATGGACTCAGTAAAATACATGTGGCAACCTAAACATTGAGTGTACCTATAATTTATCATCATTAATCTCTCTCTCTCTCTCATCTCTCATTTATCATAATTTAGTTATTTGTCAACAAAGTCTTTCTGGAGCCTATTCATTTAAAAAATAAAATTTTATTTATAATATTTGTAGCTCCCGACAACACCAAAATCCCGATATTTTCAAATTTTGTTCAGATATTTTGGTCTTCTGATCTGCCATGCCTAGTCATACAGTCATGACATGAAATCACATGGGCTAATTGTAGTACAAGTTGGAATGTAGGGTCCGATCTGTTACTTTTATTAAAAATTAAGAAACGGACAGGAGAAATCTCGGTAAACGGAAACTACCGTCCAATCGCTCTCGCGACTGTAGTAACAAGATACTTGGATAGCTTTCTTGAGGCATGCTTGTAAAAATAATTAAGACCCGCATGATGCTCATTTGTATTTCAACCAGGATTATCGACTGAGAGATAATGACTAACTAAGAGCCTATTTGACTTATTTTAAGCATACTTACTAGTTTGACCTTGACTCGTGTTATGAGTCTAGGAATAAGAGACAGATGAGCTCCAACTAGACTAGGAATACTGCAATATTTATAATTTATATGCTTACCAGGTTGAGTAGTTTAATGCGAATATAGGTTGATACAGTTGGTGTTTACATAGTTTATCAGTTATAAGTTTAACAGTTATTGGAATAACGTTTAGTACTTACAGCTATATTCCGACATTTGTCCTGCAATACACATTACTTTTTATTACTTTTATATTAAATTACTTAAACATGCTCTAGTTATAATTGGAGTTTACATACATAATCAAAAATAATACAGATAAGTCAATTTAGAAATTATAGTATAAGTCATGTCAACTTAGTTATTTTGAGTCATGTAACAGCCAATTATTGAATTTTATATTTGTCTTGGAGATATTTTTTTACTCTGTAGTATAGTTATATAGTATATATTAGTACTGAAAATAAATTGCTTTTATTATATAATGATTTCTTATATTTACACCAACACTACACATTGATGAAAACTACTTTTCTTACGGATTTTATCGTATCGGGCTAGCCAGCATCCGTGACCGTGGGTGCTGGAAAGCACCCGAAACGTCGGGTATTAAAAATAAAATAAATTAAACGCAAAAAAATCCGCTTCTATTGTATTTTAAAGTTATCTATGTTGGAGCATCTCAATATCTATAACGGTAAATGGTTATACATTAGTAATCAGGGTGATAACGCATCTGTAATCTTCTTTGTTCATAAAAAGTGTTGGCTGCAGGTGACTTTGGACTGCTGTAGCCACTTAACATCAGATGGACTGAAGTTCGTTCGTCACCTTAGTTTAGTTAAAAAAAAAACAGACGTCTAGCTAGCCTAAGCTCTACCTTTGACGCCGCTTCATGGCGCCTGTCTGGATATTTTACGCTTATCACAAACGGGATAGTTAAAACCACTATTTATCGGAAGCAAGATATTCCAGGCATTTCCCGTCGTGCCTCTTATAACACGTACATATTCGATAAAAATAATTTCCAGTGACACTCCCCCGTTACGGTTCGATCGGAACGGGATCAGTCGGCGCTGCGTCACTGGGTGCCCGCAGAGACGCTCCCAAACCCAAACGGGCTCCAAGCGTACGCTCAGATGAACGTCCTACGGCCACGCAAGGGGACATGCTTAACAGTATCAAGGTGAATTTTCATATTATATCTAATTTTCTTTATGTCTGTTCGGCTACAAATCTCTTTCACATTTTGGGTATGTTCCAAAATAGAACCCAGTCTACTGTCCAAAGCAAATGACATCATGAATCCACGCTATACTGGTGATTCGTTCCAAAACATAGGACAGTATATGACGTCATACATTTGCGCCATATTGGAAAAGTGTTGGCGATTATTTTGTCATTTTGTGCTCCAAAAATCATTATATCCTTCTAATGGAGATACCAGAAATTATTCTATAATTTTTTGTATTTGAATAAATAAAAACAAATTATGGCATGCTTCATTCAGCGTACACACAATTAAAAATTGTTTTATTATGGCCGGATATCCGACACGATATGGCGGCGGCACGCCAGTACCAAAGAATATATACACTACCAGTACAATAAAGTGTCAATTGATGACGTCATTTGTATTCGGCAGTATACTGGAAACGTTTCGGAACATACCCTTTATTTAAAATGAAATCCAACGATATTCGTCTGTACCGCGGAAACGTTTTACCTACAAACATAATTTGCAACAACATTGCCGGAATAATTGCTTGTAGACGATACAAATACTAAACTTGTTCCGGACTGTCTCTCTCTCTTTCCGCAATGTCGCAGCCAAACGCTTCGCCGGCGAGAGCATACAAGGAGGTCGTGATCCACACTAAAAACTAAACACCTATTCATTTTCAATAGTACAATTTTGCTTCTTATTCAAATATTCAGATGAACGAACGGCGTAAGTGAGCGCTCCGAGTCGTATCCAATATTTATGCGTCTTTGACGCTTTATCAAAGCCCACTTTTGATGTTATTGTTGTATGTGTTATATCGGCAGTATTCGATCGGTCGACTTAGTGTGACTTTGTGCACACTGGGGGCAATCTAACGTGTCCTACTAGGTTGAGTTTTCGATATTTTCAAGTAATCGCCACGGTCAAAAACGATCAGAAGGATATCATTAATAATCATCAGTGGAAATTCACACCATAATCATTATCGCCATAAGTACCTATATGTCACGCTTTAAATACGACCGAGACAAAATTTTTACTCTATTGTTGGTCACAGACTTACAGGTCTCACATTTCTGAGAGCATTATGTAATGTAATTTCCTCCAGACAGTATCGACGGCGACTAGCTACCTGCGCAGGAGATGGCTAGTCGCCGTCAAGTGATTACAGTGATCAAGGGTATGCTCAGATGCCCTCTCTATTCCCTCACTCTTCTAGTCCGATGGGGCAGTAATCCGACTTCGGCGATAGGATATTTTAACGTACATGAGTGTTAGTGACGACTTTAAGCCGTCGTCTTAATTCAGATCGTGCGATGGTCCAACAGGTGTCCTAATAGGTCGCGCGATGGCGCCGCAACTGCGCCATTTCAACAATGGCTGTTTACTGAGAAGCACAGTTTTTTTTTAACTCTCTTGGGTCTCTACTCGTCTCTAACTTCGACTCACCGGTGCCCTTGCGTTGCTGCGCTCGTGCGATGACGCGTGCCCGGGACACTCAAAGGAGATTTGTAGCTTTGATTGCACGATCGTACTATCAAACCTTTTATACGTGGTAGAGCCATGCTGCAGTTATATTAGTAGTACAGTTGTAGCACGAATGGGTCGGCTCGACCGGGGAAGGACCACGCTCTCACAGAATACCAGCGTGAAATAGTAGCGTAATGCTTGCTGCTGTATTTCGTATGGTGAGTGTAGAGAACCGGAGACCCTTTTTACTGGAAACGAGGCATTCCATCTTGGTCCTCACGGGTGACAACGCATCTGCATTTTGATTTGTAATCGAGGATAGATGTAGATGTCTATGGGCCGCAGCAACCACCTACCATCAGGTGGACTGTGTGCTCGTTTGTCACCCTATCATATAAAAAAAAACAATCGTGCGATCGTTATTAAGCAATTTCCGTTGCTCGCCCGATGACATGCAAGTTTCTATTAAGATACTAAAGAAATGTGTGTTTAATCTTGTCGTGAGACGAAATCGCATCGTTTGCTTGTACGATAGTTACCCATTAAGCGACGCCTTCGACACGGGAATTCCTTATTCATATTGTCTATTATATTTCTTATTCTAGTTTCAAAGAAGATTTCGAGAAACTCTCAATAATGAAAAAATAAACTCCATGTTTCGTGATAACCAAGACAGGTAATAACTAACAAAACAAAAAATAAATATTTTATAAATAATATGATTGAAATTCTTTTCGAACCCTATTAATATTAATTAATAGGGTTCAGGTTCAGGTATCAATCAATCAATCTATTTTTCTCTTATTTAGTCCAATTCCACAAAGTAAAATAAACAGTAAAAATGTGAATTCCGGTATCAGTATGGAAGGGAGGCGTAATTCTAAAATCAGGTAAGCAATACCATAAAACTATAGAAATATTATTCATTATTAATTTTTATATTCTATATATAAGCTTTGGTCAGGTAAGGATCGTAGCCGTTAATGGGCGCGAGTGACAAGATGATAAAAGACACAGGAAGTTGATAGATGCAGGTGACTCAGGACTGTGTTTTGTGGCGTTCCTTGGAGTAGGCCTGTGTTCAGCAGTGAGGTTTTGATGGGTTGTAATAAATGATAATATTCAGAATTGTCGCTATAGTTAAAATAGGCTGGATCATAGAAAGTTTTCTGGTTCCTGGTATTACATTCGGGCTAAGCCAGTAGTGTAAGAATAACCACTACCTCATATAAGTCGCGGCACGTAAGTCTAGCGCTGAACGAAACGTGGATAGTTTAGCTGCGCATGTCATATCGATTCGGGGGACAGAATGCGACTGGAGATCCAATCAGCGCGTGCGCACGATACACACGACCGTCTCGCGACTCGCTTACTACCACATGATACCTTATTTTCAGCTAAAGACCGATTTACACTTCGACAAGTACAGTAGCGAGTTAAGTTACAAGGCAGTTGACAGTGAACGGTTAAGTGGGCAGTAGCGTTCAATGTCTTCGTGGCGAGTTTAGTTAAGGACATTAGTTCATAGAGTTTGTTAGAGTATGAAGTTTCAAGACTACAGAATTTTTATGGTTTTCGTTTAAGGTGGTTCTAGGATTATGTCAAGACTTAAATCGTCCAGTCAGAGAAGTATTAATGGTTGTTGTTAAAGAAGTTTTTAATAATTTTCATGAGTGCAGCATCTCGAGCAGGTTTAATTTTACAATTTGAACTTCTACTATTATATAAACATTCGTATTCTAGATACTCCTGTACAAATTTATACGTGGTATCTTCCGTCCATTTTAATTAAAACTCAATATAAAACGCATAAATATTCAATAATCAGTATCGTACAAACTTTGAGGCGAGTTTCATTATAAAAGTACAACTGTACGTTTTGGCGCGCAAACGTTGCGTCCTGTCAACTTATGCACTGAACTAAACTCGCTCGTTTACACGAACGGCGAGTTTAGTTGCGGGTGGCGGGAGACACGCGCGAGGACAGCACTTCGCACTTAACTCGCCGAAAAATAGCTCGGCCGGCTATCCCGTTCAACTTAATCGTTAACTTGCTACTTAACTCGCTTATTGCCGTTCAAACGGGGTTCAAACTTAACTCGCCAGGTTCGCAAGTTAACTCGCTACTGTACTTGTCGAAGTGTAAATCGGCCTTTATGCGCAATAACGGCCACCGCTAGGCTTTCATGCCGTTACTCATATCATCCCGTGGAAGTCGTAAGAAGCGACAAAGGGAAACAAATCAGATTATGGAAAGCAGCGTCTAATGACAAAAAAACTGCAGTAGCCAATTAGCTGGCCAAGCATGCAACTATGGCAAATGCAAATGCTAATGCTAGGCAAATGCTATAAGGCACTCTATGGGGAAGGCTATATTCAACAATGGACTTTAATTGGTCGTAACGGTAACGGTAAGCCAGCATGCTATCATCGACATTTTTTTAAAACTCATGTGACAGACGAACCTACTGTTCACCTGATGGTAAGCGGCTACTGCAGTCCATGGACACCTGCAGCCTATCACCTCTGAAGCCTACCGAGCTATCACCTCTGAATACCAATATGGAATGCCTCACAATCTGTAATTACACTGGCTCTCCACACACTTCGGAACGGAACATACATTCCATTTTGTTTAGATGTCATAAAATACTAATGCTATTTACTGCAGCAATGAACAACAGGGTTGGGGGCCGCGGGTTCGAATCCCGCACGAAACAAGTGCTTGTATGGCTCACAAATAATTGTTCCTGGTCTGGATGTCCGAAATATATGAATGTAAACTGTCTCCGTAAAACGGGAGAAAATCTTAGAGTAGAGGTAACGTGTTCCAAACAAAAATATATGGTCATTGAGTGTCACATTTCTGTAAAGAAATACATTTAGAGTGAATGTTTCCATGGTGTTTGCATGGAAATGTTTGAAAAGAACTTAAGAAGTATTATAGAACATAAAAGTGCATATATTATTTCAAGTAATATGACATTATTTTGGCATGGACATTGACTGTGTAGTGGTGGTCTAAGAATGTCCAACCATATCGTCCCATGGGTGTTGTAATAGGTAACCGTGGGGGAAAAACCAGGCAATAGGTAGCAGTATCTTCTTGATTACAACTTTAAAACTCTAGCAGGAAACTCATGGCAGAATCTTTAGCAATGAACTTTTGAGAGGCTGTAACTATAACAGTAATACGAGTTTAATTTACAGTAAACCAGGAGATAAAACCGTAGGGACATCAAGATCTCTGTTCAACAGAACCAGTTCTCCAAAAGGAAGGCACAGTATGCAGGGCTCATTTTTTTATTAAATGTTTTAAAATCCAAATGAAAATGTGTTTGAAAATTATAAGTGATGTTAACTTGTGTTGTTGTTTTGATCAAATTTAAATGTTTAAATTAAACGCATATTTCATTATTTATTTATTTATTTACAATAAAACTTGTATACAAATCTTATATACATAAGTCGTTATTCATTGTCTCATTATGAAAATAAAAACATTAAGAACTTAAAAACTATCCTAACTAACGTTTAATGACTAAAGTATATAGTTGCATTTTCTTCATAAAATACCTACTTATATGAAAGAAGTACAACATATTAAGCTGGTATTTATAAATTTGCTAGTTCTTTTTTATTAGTCACAACAAATTCAACTATTAATTAAAATATAAAACCACTGTTTCCAAGTAGTGACAGTGCAATTTAAATCATTACCTATGGTGTCATAAAAGGTGACATAGGAGAATGTCCAAAGAACTTGTAGAAGCTTCGATAGCTCATCTAAAACTGCATGCGCCTCCCCTGTTATAGGAAGGTTTTGTCACATTTACCATATTTAGTAAAAAATCTATAATACAATACTATATTATAATGTGCTAAATATCGCATGTCTGGCAACATCGTTACACTCTATCCATAGGCTCTTAATTTACTGCAGGAGTTTCAGTTTGTGTGTAAGAACACAAGGGAACTGTATGTTACGTGAGTCCGGGATCAGTGGGCGGCGCCATACAGTTTCCATCGGGATAACGTTTCTTGAATGCTGCAATGAGATCAGGGTCCACCAGACGCACACCGTCCACTTGGTTACCTAGAGTTATCCTGGATAAGAGCGGGCATTGTTTAGTAGAATAGTACCCGGTTGACCGAGCTTTGCTCGGTATTTTTCCCTCGGTTTTTTTTTAATTCGTGTGTTTTGGAAATTATATTTAGATACAAATTACATACTGATGAAATACGAATAATATTTTTTGATCTTAGCGACATAATAGAAAAAACTGAACTGGTTATTTGAATAAAAAATCATGAGTGCAATTAGTTTAATTTAAATTTTCGTGTTTTTAAAAAAAAGGCAAAAAAAAAATAATAAGTCAAAATATACCTTCTTATTCTAATGATATTGTAGCAATTTTTCATTGCCTAAAAACACGGACAAAAGACATTTTATAAAAATAAATCCTAGCTAGGTCGATTTCTTGCCCCCGAAACTCCCTGCACACAAAATTTTTGCTCGTTTAAAGGTATAGGATTTATCAATGTAGCACGGATTGGTCTGCTCGACCTAGCTCGTACAGAATACATATAGCAGCATGAAGGTGCTGTGTTTCTCTTGGTGAGTGGGAACACTTGAGAACTTTTTTAATGGTAACTTTTGATTTTAATTATAGTCAACCAAATCTAAGAAATACCTTTTGACGCTTCACATTAATCATTCCGCAATAACTTTGCAAGGCGTACTCACACGATTTAAAATAACCTTTTACGTAAATCCGAGGAAGTAGGAAGTTATCTACATTTCATTACAACGTGTATAGTTTTTTTATCACTAATTTAAATTCGAATCTTTTAAACAAAGCAAAATATTAAAAAAATACCTAGTATCAACTGTTTTACTTGACGTCGTTTCAATGACATGTCACTATAAGGTACATAGTGACATACCGTAGTGTTTAGATGATTAAAATTCATTGTTATGCGAATAATCGGTAAAAATATTCAAATAATCGGTAAAAATATTCAAATAATCGAATCATAATTTTTTAATGTATTATTTGTTTAATTAAATATTTATTTTTAAAATTCCTTAAATTACATGTATCATGAATAAAATAAGTTATTTTTTTTTAATTTTATCAACGTAAATTTGTGTAGCAAAAAAAACTTAACTAAAAAACCACTACGTAATTTCAATCTCCCGCCATTTGTGATTTTGTGTTTGTCTTCTTATTTTGTGACTCGGCGTTAAAGCATGTGCGCATGTCACAAAGGATGATTGGGCAAAACTGGTAGAAAAAAAATGATTATGGATGATTTTGAAAGAGACATTAATTTTGCCTGCATTATTGAAAATCAAAAAAATTATTAATTTAAACAACGACAGCTCAACTAGTTGTACTAAAAGTGATTGAATAAACTTATTTTTAATCTTGTGTCAATCTTAATTTTTTATAACTGTGTCTTTAGAAATAAACAGTAACAACAAATACGAAGAAACTGAAAAATCTTGTGTTTTAATTTTATTCTGGTACGATTCAAGCCGAACTGTAAATGATTACCAACTCTAAATAATCGATATCGATTTTTTAAGAATCGAATATTGCATGTTCCCAGTTTTTGGTTGGCATGCTTGGTGCGATAAGTCTGACAGTTGTCAAAATGTATTTCTTAGATTTGGTTGACTATAAGAATAGATGTTTGTAGTGTAGGAGCAATATGGTATATATATGGGGCCTAATTTGTCACCCTAGATAAAGGTGTAGTATATAAAAACAGGGTAGGATATGGTAACTAAAGCATAAAATACGTATAAATCATACGTGAAGCAACAAATTTTTCAGAGAAGCCAACACCATACAAACATTTTACGTGGTTTTTACGCGAGAAAAAATTTATACGCGTAGAGCCATGCTGCAGTTATATTAGTAGTATAGTTGTAGCACGAATGGGTCGGCTCGACCGGGGAAGGACCAAGCCCTCACAGAATACCAGCGTGAAATAGCAGCTTAATGCTGCTATGTTTCGTATGGCGAGTGTAGAGAACCGGAGACCCTTATCTTAGTCCTCACGGATGACAACGTATCTGCACTTTGATTTGTAATCGAGGATAGATGTAGATGTCTATGGGCCACAGCAACCAATTACCATCAGGTGGACTGTGTTCTTATTTGACATCCTATCTTATTAAAAAAAATGTAAACATTTAAAGTAAATTCTTAAGACTTAGTTGTAGGTGTGGTTGAATTGTTGTTGTTATGAAACTGGTAACAAAAATTATTTAAATTACTTACCAGTTAGGCTGTACATTGTGAGGTCGGCCAAATAGTTCTATTTTCCTAGTGCCGGGGCTTAGCCTCTCTGTAAAAAGTATTGCTATATCTTTATAAAATACCATATATCATTATAATACTCAGCGGCTGACAAATTACTGTCAAAAGAAAGCACAAATCGAAATTGTGCACTCATTTCATTTAATGTAATTTTGCCAAGTGTATTTTAGGATGTCGAAGTGAACTGACTTATATAATAAAATAATATAAATGAATACAAAGAAATGTTGAATGAACAATTTACTAAAATACCTTTGAGTAAACTGCAAAAATGGCACCTCTACATACCACATTAAGTACTTTACAATACGTAAAGTACTTAATGTGGTATGTAGAGGTGTGGTACGTTTAAGTTAATTACTTTCGTAGAATTAGTTATTCAAATGAGGTAGGATTGAGAACCCTTCATCACATTTTCGTAAATAAATTACATATATGTATTAATATATTCTATTAATCAAGAAACGTTTGTCTAACTTACCAATGATGCCGTAGATTTCGTCTGGTTTGTGTGAGGTGGCCCTTACTTCGGCAACGATGACGTCACAGTCCAGGCCGCGGTTCAAGTTCTCGGGATTCCCTTTCATGCCAACCTGTACAAAAGACGAATATATTAGCCTCAAAAGCGAAACATGCTTATCGCCCGAATATATAGATAATAAATAACAGACACATTGAATATAACTACTTTTACGGCTTCATCGCGTTTATTTATTTTTAGCTGTCGATGTTTCCGGTACTTTGCAGTACCCATGGTCACACAGGGGACTGAGGTGATTGACCTCCCGATGTCAAAGTTAACGCCAGAGTACCTTCAGTGTTTTAATTATTTATACCATCGTAGACTCCTATTTTAATTAAACCATCAGCTTTCATTTTCCATTTAGAACGTCATTGGCTAATTTTACCAAACTGCCACAGAAAGGAAAATAAGAAGATCGGACCAAAAGTAATAACTAAAGAGCTGAAAGTACTCCCGCAAATATAGGTCATTATTATTATTTACAATGTATTTTGGATTTTTAGATAATCAGAATCTCAATTCACTTATACATCGGCCCTAGTATCCCTTATAATAAGGGATACTAGGGCCGATGTAGATGCAAAGATATAACCTTTTGCTAGCATCATAAACGGAGCGAAGTAGAAATATAAAGCGCGCGCTTTTGCTTTACATGTATTTACCCATAGAGAATTTAGTTTTTACTTATTTTTATTCAAAAAACCTTGTCTACGTTGAGCTACAAATATTGCCGAAAAAATGATGTAAACTGGCTTACGGGTTACGGAGGAAATAGATTTCAAAGAATCGTTTTCTTGCGTCAAGGGAGCTCCGCTCCAATGAAGGGCGGACTTAATGGCTTATGGCATTCTCTACCAGTCAACCCTGGAACACAGCTTAGTGTGCTTAGTATGGCAAACTTTGCCAGCAGTGCACAAGGATGCGCTTATAAGTGGTATAATTTGGTAGAACAAGTGGTAAAATTAAAAATTTTGTACAACCGACTTCAATACTATCATATCAATGTATTCAGTCAATTAAATACGCATTATTTAAGAATAACTCAAAAACTACTGGTCAGATCTTGATCAAATTTATATGGGACCACACGAGAAGCACTAGCTTCTCGAAGAATCATCAAAATTGCTTCACCTAGAACAAAAGCTCTGAGGTAACACACTTTAAAAAAACAAAAAGTTGAAGTGAATACCTACTCAATTTTAAAATCGGTAAAAGATCAATAAGCCTTCATATACCTACCAGACAGTGTTCCTTGCCGTGATTGAGCCAGTGTCCAGTGCGGCCAGTGCGTATGATCCTTTGTAACTGGTTGGTCTTCACCCATATCAGCTCATCCACCCGCTCGTAGCCCCACAGCTTCAGACACTCCCTACCGAGCTCCATCGCTCTTGTGGAAGATATTACTTTAATTTAAAAATGTTTTGGTTAGCTGTTATAAATCACTAAAAATTTGGA